TCACTCATTCATTCCTAGTTCTATTCTTGACATGTTATCAGAGTAGGAACCGTTCCTACATGGGCCCACCGTTCCGCCTAGTGGTAGCGCCACGCCCTACACAGTAGCCAGCGCGCTGGTGCCCCTAGCTCTCACTGTCGCGACCCTTGCAGCCCGTGCGCTGCCCCTGCGACCGCGCTGCCCCTGCAGCCGTGCTCGCCCCTACGACCGTGCTGCCCCTGCAGCCGTGCTCGCCCCTGCTACCGTGCTGCCCCTGCAGCCACGCCTGCCCCTGTGGCCCGCGCGCTGCCCCTGCAGCCCGTACGTCGCTCCTGCAGCCCGTACGTCGCCCTTGCAGCCCGTTCACGCTGCCCCTGCAGCCCGTTCATGCTGCCCCTGCAGCCCGTTCACGCTGCCCCTGCAGCCCGTTCACGCTGCCCCTGCAGCCCGCGCGCAGACCTACCGAGCCGCGCGTCGCCTCTGCAGCCCGTCCGCGCGGCCCCTGCAGCCCGCGCGTCGCCCCTGGAGCCCGCGCGCCGCCTCTGCAGCCCGTTCGCACCGCCCCTACAGCTCGCGCGCGGACCTGCCGAGCCGCGCGGCCCCTGCAGCCCGTACGAGCTGCCCTTGCAGCCAGCGCGGCGCCCCTGCAGCCCGAGCATCGCCCCTGCAGCCCGCACACCGCCCCTGGAGCCCGTGCGTCCTGCCCCTGCAGCCCGCGCCCTAATGCAGCCCACGAGTCGCGCGCTGCTGCCTCGCGCGTCGCGCTCTGCTGCAGCCCGCGCGTCGCGCCCTAAGGCAGCCCGTCGCGTCGCGCTCTGCTGCCCCTCGCGTCACGCAGTGCTGCAGCCTGCGCCAACGCCCTGCCCTACGCGCGCTGGCGCCCTGCCCTGCGCCAGCGCCCTGCCCTGCGCCCGCGCCCTGCCCTGCGCCAGCGCCCTGCCCTGCGCCAGCGCCCTGCCCTGCGCCAGTGCCCTGCCCTGCTTTTGCCTTAGGAGCTACTGCCTACTACTGCCCTGCTGTGGCCGCGCGCCGCCCTGCTCTGGCTACATGCCGCCCTGCTCTGGCCGCGCGCCGCCCTGCTGCTGTTACTACTGCTGCTGCTGCTACTCGTGCTACTGGGAGTGGTGGAGGTGCTGCTGGGAGTGCAGGAGGTGCTGCTGGCGCTGTAGGAGCTGGAGGTGCTGGACCTACTCCTGACCGTCACTGTCTGTCATGGCCACTTCCGCGGCAGTTGCTGCGGCCAGGGGTGGACAGCAGCGGGCACTGCTTCTCCCGGACGACCCCACCCCTCGGCAGCTTCGTGAGTGGGTTATTCAGCGAGGTCGTCCTGGTGGTGGAGGTTATCGTTCTGTTAGGACTGCTGCTCTAGGTGCTAGTGAGTCTGCTGCCGCTCCAGGTGCTAGTGAGTCTGCTGCAGCTCTAGGTGCCCGTGCGTCTACCGACGCTCTAGGTGCTAGTGCGTCTACTACCACAGGTCCTGCCTCAGATGAGGTCTTGCACACTTTCACGCTTGACTCAGGCGCGTCACGTTGCTTCTTTCGTGATTGCACCATAGTCACACCACTCACAGCACCTGTCCCAGTCTCATTGGCTGACCCCTCTGGGGGCCCAGTGGTTGCGAGAGCCTCCACGGTCCTCCCTTGTCCAGCAGTCCCCTCCGGCTCTTTGTCAGGTCTCCACCTCCCCACGTTCTCGGCGAACTTGGTGAGCAACGCTGCCATTCAGGATGTCTGGGTTGATACCTTTATTCCTGGAGGGCAGCGTGTGGCGATCTGTACGTGCTCCCGGACTGGCCGTCACCTGGCTACGTTCACTCGACAGCCTGGGTCTAGTCTGTACACACTGACCACTGCCTCTGCACAGGTGGCTGAGTCAAGTCAGTTAGCTGCGTCTTGCTCGTGCAGAGTACTCACGCACGAGACTCAGCGCTGGCACCACCGTCTTGGTCACCCCTCCCTGCAGCGTGTGCGCGGCATGGACTCCCGGCTCCTGGTCTCTGGCCTCCCTGAGACCCTGCCCCCCCTCCCGCGCTCACTTGCGCCGCCGTGCCTTCCTTGCGTCGAGGGGCGGCAGCGCGCCGCTCCTCACTTCTCCGAGTTTCCTCCGACCACTGCTCCTCTGCAGACTCTCCACCTGGACGTGTGGGGCCCGGCCCCCGTCGGTGGGACGGACCAGGAGCGCTACTTCCTACTGGTTGTTGACGACTACACACGCTACACCACTGTCTTCCCCTTGCGTCGCTAGGCGGACGTCAGCGGTGTTTTGATCCCCTGGATCCGTGCTACTCGTCTCCAGCTACACGAGCGCTTTCAGCAGGACTTCCCAGTCCTGCGTCTGCACTCTAACAAGGGTGGTGAGTTCTCTTCTGGCGTCCTTGAGACGTTCTGCCAGGATGAGGGCATCGCCCAGTCGTTCACGCTTCCGGCCTCTCCGCAGCAAAATGGGATCGCTGAGCGTCGCATTGGCCTCATCATGGAGGTTGCTCGTACCTCCATGATCCATACGGCTGCTCCCCATTTCCTGTGGCCGTTTGCGGTCCGATACGCCGCGCATCAGCTCAACCTCTGGCCCCGTGTCTCTGCTCCAGAGACCTCGCCCACACTCCGTTGGACGGGACAGCCTGGTGATGCGTCGTCGTTTCGGGTCTGGGGCGCGCTCTCCCTTGTTCGCGATACCAAAGCGAGCAAGCTCTCTCCTCGCACTCTCCGCTGTGTCTTCCTGGGCTTCCCCACCCACGCTCCACCCTGGCAGTTCTACCACCCTGCCTCGCGTCGTGTTCTGTCCTCTCAGGACGTCACCTTCGACGAGTCGGTCTGTTACTACCGACTTCACCCGCACTTTCTTGCAGGGTAGCCTTCACGAGGCCATCTGGTTGCGCCGTCCACAGGGCTTCACTGGGTCGTTTCCTGAGGGTACCCAGTGGAGCCTACGGCGACCAGTGTACGGCCTGCGTCAGGCGCCCCATGAGTGGCACGACACACTGAGGACGACACTTGCGGCTCTTGGGTTTGCTCCTTCCACTGCTGACCCGTCGCTGTTTCTACGCACCGACACTACTCTGCCGCCGTTCTACATCCTCGTATACGTCGACGACTTGGTTTTTGCTACTGCTGACACTGAGGCACTGACCCTAGTGAAGGCGGAGCTGCAGGAGAGACACACCTGCACTGGCCTGGGTGAGCTGCGCAGCTATCTTGGCTTGCAGATCACCCGGGACAGAGCACGGCGCACCATCACCCTGACTCAGTCACACATGGTGCAGCAGGTCCTTCAGCGCTTCCGCTTCACGTGGTCCTCGCCACAGCCCACTCCTCTGTCTACCGGCCACTCGCTCTCAGCTCCACCTTCGGACGAGTCCGTAGAGCCGAGTGGTCCGTACCCAGAGCTTGTGGGTTGCCTCATGTACCTGATGACGTGCACACGACCTGACCTCGCGTACCCTCTCAGCCTCCTGGCTCGCTACGTGGCACCTGGTAGACACCGAAAGGTGCACTTTGATGCTGCGAAGAGGGTACTGCGTTACTTGTGCAGCACATCGGGCATGGGGCTCGTGCTTGGAGGACGGGGTTCGGTGGTCCTCACAGGACACTCTGTCGCTTCTTGGGCCGACGACCAGACGACTCAGCGTTCGTCACAGGGTTACACCTTCAGTCTTGGCTCTGGTTCTGTCTCGTGGAGGTCCACTCGTTCTTCTTCTGTGCTTGGTTCCAGCTGTGAGGCCGAGATCTACGTTGGGGCCATGGCTGCACAGGAGCTACGCTGGCTGACCTACCTGCTGACCGACTTGGGGGAGCGGCCTCGTTCTCCTCCAGTTCTGTACGTCGACAACAAGGCAATGCTTGCCTTGTGTCGCGAGCAGAGACTGGAGCACCGAACGAAGCACATTGCTCTTCGCTACTGTCTTGCACGTGAGCTGCAGCAGCGTGGTCAGCTGCGCCTTGCTTTCGTGGCCTCTCGGGCCAACACTGCTGATGTCTTCACCAAGGCCCTTGGGTCTGGTGATCATCACCGTTTCTGCACTGCTCTTGGGCTTGTGCCCACTCTGCCTCACCTGCTGGTTGCTTGACTTGCTCTTCTTGTACACTGCTATATATCTTATACCTGCATGTTTTCTCTTGCTAGGTTGTGATCAGTGTACTGCCTTGCTATTATATACCTCTGCATGTGAACTGGCCTTGTGGCCACTTGCTTGTGCTCAGAATGCGTGGTGACTTTGTGATCCACCCTGAGCTGTGTTCTCTTCTGCAGACTGGTCTTGTGACCGCTTGTTGTGTTTGCTGTCCCCTACTTTGCCTATGGGGGTGTGTCAAATTACAATTGTATCTCTAGGCTATAGTAGGGTCACTCCTTAGTGAGTACAACACTTTAGGGTTAGGTTTCCCCTACTTGTACTCACCTCTTGCCTAGTTCACTCATTCATTCCTAGTTCTATTCTTGACACTGACACCGCGGGAATCTGAGATTCCCTGTACTTCTGGGCACCCACACTCGGCACGTGTAGGAATCGCATTCAGGGTCAGGTTCGTTACAACGTAAAGTGATCAGTGTCCCTTGGAAAAAGATCCTGAAAGGTCAGAGTCATCTGGCACCTAAAGGCTGGAAAATCAGTCCCTAAAAAAAATGAACACTGGAAAATCAGGATTGGTTGGTACAAAAAAAACCCTGAAAATCAGGAATTTCAGGGAAAAAATCCTGATAACGTAGGGCCTGGATGACGGTATATAGTGACTCCACTCGGACTCTCCGTAGCTAGGCTATATTGATGGATTTAATGCATGTGTGAACACAATAGAATATTGGACTTAGAGCACAGCAGCTTCAATTCAAACACAGACCAGATCAGACACTTCATACGGTTAGACAAGAAATGTTCAAATATGTGATTCATAAGGCATGAAATGTTCAAATATCTGATTCAAAAGTCGTCCAAACTTGACAACTTCTGATGTATCAGCCGGGTCACAGGCCCGAAGGCCCCGTCTGATGCATCAGTTGGGTTCAAATCCTAGCGAGGACCCTGTCTATAACACATCAGTTCCAATCGTGAGAGACCGTGGGTCCAATAAATATCGGAACGACCAGTCATATGAAGCCACTTCAACGCACTGTTCAATGGTCGGGTTCCGCTTCTGAGCCATCCGCTTGGCAATAGCAACACGTGGGGCGGGCGGCAACTGGTTCAGGGCCCACTCTAGCAGAGCAGGCAGTGAATCCGTGAAATCAGGGCAATACCTGAATGGGGAGTCGGGACAAGGAAATTCAGGAAGCAATGTGTGAGGGTAGAATAAGAATGTGAGGCTTGAAGCTGTGAATGTGGATCCTGAAATACCCATTTGGTCTAAAAACTGGCAAGACCATAGGGAATGGGAATGTGAATGTGAATGGTAGCAGCACCCACCAGTCAAGAATCTTGGGAAGAATGATTCGGTCATCACGGCTCATGCCTATGGCAACTTCCAGGAAGTTATCCTTGGCCTCCTCTAGCTCGGCATGCACAGTGCGAGCCGAGTACACCCGTAGCTGGGAGGGACACGGGAGGGACAAGGGAGGGACAAGGGATGCATGCACGTGGATGTGACATGTAGAGGTAGCAGGGTCAGTGCAAGAGCCCATGCAGCAGGGTCAGCAGCAAGGGCAGGTCTGGAAACAGGTGGCGGTCTGGAAACAGGAGCAGGTCTGGAAACAGGTGCAGGTCTGGAAACAGGAGCAGGTCTGGAAACAGGAGCAGGTCTGGAAACAGGTGCAGGTCTGGAAACAGGTGCAGGTCTGGAAACAGGAGCAGGTCTAGAAACAGGTGCAGGTCTGGAAACAGGTGCAGGTCTGGAAACAGGAGCAGGTCTAGAAACAGGTGCAGGTCTGGAAACAGGTGCAGGTCTGGAAACAGGTGCAGGTCTGGAAACAGGAGCAGGTCTGGAAACAGGAGCAGGTCTGGAAACAGGAGCAGGTCTGGAAACAGGAGCAGGTCTGGAAACAGGAGCAGGTCTGGAAACAGGAGCAGGTCTGGAAACAGGAGCAGGTCTGGAAACAGGAACAAGTGCTCTGGGCTGGGAGGGGATGGAGCGGAGAGGAGCTCACGGCAGGTGCGCAGAAGCTTCCGGGGCAGAGGCCGAAGGATACATTGGGTTCCCCTACTGTGAGCGCCCACCCCACCCTGGGGTCGTCATAAGCGAAGGGGCGGCTCTTGAGGGCCTTGGCCTGAGACAGGAGAGCGGTGGAGACGAGAGGGAGACATGGGTGTGGTTGAGGGTGGAGAGAAGGAGAGGCATGGGTGTGGTTGAGGGTGGAGAGAAGGAGAGGCATGGGTGTGGTTGAGGGTGGAGAGAAGGAGAGGCATGGGTGTGGTTGAGGGTGGAGAGAAGGAGAGGCATGGGTGTGGTTGAGGGTGGAGAGAAGGAGAGGCATGGGTGTGGTTGAGGGTGGAGAGAAGGAGAGGCATGGGTGTGGTTGAGGGTGGTTTGGAACCCTATGGAAGCGGCCATGCCCATCCAGCACTAAGCAGCGGGCCTTGTGGGCCCAGGCTTGGCCTGCCAGTGAAGAGGAAAGCGAGGGAAGGGTGCTTTACTAACTGTTTCCATACCAGAAAGGTATGGGCGTAGGGGGGTAGTTGGGGGAGGGTGAGGGGGGGGTTCGGAGGAAAAGACTGGAAGAGGAGCCTGATACACTCTCTTGATTTGAGACAATTCAAAACAGGGGCGTGTTTTGAGTTGACTCAAAACAGACGGGGGGTTCGGGGGAAAAGGCAGAAAAGGAGCCTGATATACTCTCTTGGATTTTACGGCTGAACGGAGAGAGGGTGTCACAATATGCAACAAGGTGCGCGAACAAAGATCAGTGTATACGGGTGAGAGGAGGGGCGTGAAGCAGACGTGAAAGTGGGGAGAAGGAGCAGCAATTTTTAGTCGACTCAAAAACTGGAACTAAGTTCAGTGTACACAGGTGAGGGGAGGGGCGTGTAGCAGTCGTGAAAGGGGGGAGAAGGAGCAGTGTGTACCAGAGAGGAGCGGTAGGTGGGTGCTCGGAGCACAGCGAATTCTATCTCCAGGGCGTTGATTGGAAGGTTGCCGATTATGAACGTGGCCTGGGGTAGGAAAGGAGGAAAAGCGGCGGAGGGAGGAGAGGGACGGCATGAGAAAGGCATGAGAAAGGCATGAGAAAGGCATGAGAAAGGCATGAGAAAGGCATAAGAAAGGCATAAGAAAGGCATGAGAAAGGCATGAGGAACATTCATGCAGCCAGACAAGGTAATGAACAAGAGATGCCGTGGTGCTTAGTGCCCGCATAATATAGATTAATGAGTAAGCATGAAGATACGACTGTTGAAGGGAGTCAAATCTCATCTGAAATACAGAACATAAGACTCGACTTGGCGTTGGGGAGGTGCTTGTTTGGGTTAACTTGATGATCATCTCAAATGAATGCGTACCTGAGTGAGCACAGGGATGCGCTTTGCGTGCGTTGTAGGGTAGCCTGTTGAGGCGCCTCAAAAGCTAACTTCATGATCATCTGAAATGAATGGAAGGGGTACCTGAGTGAGCATGGAGATGCGCTTTGCGTGCGTTGTGGGGTAGCCGTTGATCAGGAAGGACTGGCGTGAAGGGGTGGGAAGGGGTGAGGAGATTGGAGAACGCAGGTAAAGTCGAGACTAGGGTTGCTCATGTGCGGCAAATGAGAACTTTGAAGTGTGGCAGGTGTGGAGATTGGGTGCAGCAAGGCACACAGTGCAGCAGCAGCGCACTGTAGAGGTTGCATGAGAGCGGGAAAGAGGGAAAGACAACGCGGTCACATGCAGCAGAGATGGTTGGGGGTGTGGTTTGCTCACATGCAGCAGCAGCGCGTTGTAGAGGTTGAGGCAGAAGGCAAGGAAGGGGAAAAGAGAGAAGGCAATGGGGTCACATGCACCAGATTCCATGGGTTGGAGGTTATGATGTTCCTTACATGCAGCAGCAGCGCGTTGCAGAGGATGAGCCAAAAGCAAGGGAGAGTGAGAAAAGCGGGGGGGGGAGGAGATGGCAGTGTGCAGCGGAACTGACTGTGGCTGGGCTGTGCCTTACATGCAGCAGCAGCGCGTTGGTTGAGCCAGAAGGCGAGGGATAAGGGAGTGGGGGAGGGGAGTGGGGAGATGGCATGGCAGAGCAGAGTGGGGTTGGGTTGGGGGTGTGGTTGGCGTAAGGCCAGGGCAGCAGTGAGGTGGGGGTGGGGAGTGGTGTGGCGTACGTGCAGCAGCAGCGCGTTGTAGAGGTTGAGCCAGAAGGCGAGCTTCTCGTCCTCCGACAGGTATGAGGGGTCCAAATCCGATAGCTGCTCTGCTAGCATCCTGGATCGAGTGGGGGGAGGCAGCGGGGCGCAGGGTGAGGGAGTGGGCATGGTGAGGGAGTGGGCATGGGATGTCATGATCAGGGGACCGGATCCCATATCTGGGCAGGTAGCATCCTGAGGTGTGGAGGCAAGGGGAGCGGAATGGGGGAGGACAAGAACGGGAATAGACGGGGGGAGGCGGAACGGAAGGGGAGCAGGAAAGGGGAGGAGAAGGGAAGAAGGGTGGCAGGGGGAGCAGACGGAGCATAGGGAGCACGGGGAGTGGTGGGAGAGGAAGGGGAGGGGAGAGGAGTAAGCAAGAGACGCAATTTGCAGCGAGGAAGGGGAGGGGAGCAGCACAGCAGGCAGGCACCGGTAGCGTCAGAGAGAGAAGATATCCACGTTGCTGTATTTATCATCGCTGGTCACAGCATGCACGGGCAAGCATGGGCTTGCAAGAGCAGCACCATAATTCCCAGAGGGCCACACCGGCTCCCAGGCACCCACCCACCTGTAGCGGCAGAGCGAGAAGATATCCACGTTGCTGTACTTATCATCGCTGGGCACAGAGGTGACCTCCATGGCCGCCCCATACGCCCCAACAGGCGGGCACGGGTGGAACTCCAGCACCCCATACGGGTCCACAAACCCCTCCACTGCCAGTGCCGCGCTCCCCACCGCTATGCCCCCTCCCATGGGCACTGAAGGCGCGGCAGGGAATGGGGAGGACGGCGGAGGGGTCGAATTGGGTGCTGGTGATGTGTTCCCTGCTGCTGGCGTGGTAATGGGGTTGACTGTATGGAGGACAGGGGTGGAGGAGGTTCGAGTGATGGCGCGGGAAGGGCGGTCGGTGCTTGCATGTGAAGCGGAAGGGTCTGCTGAACTGAACAGAGCACCAGCCGCACCAGCAGCATCACCAGCACCAGCGCCCCCACCACCGGCGCCACCAGCACCAGAAGTAGCACCACCATTCCCAGTGCTGCTGCTTCTCAAGCTGCCACTGCTGCCAAACCCACTCCCACTCCCATAACTATTGCTCCTCGTGGCAGGATACTGCAAGCCAGCGGCCACAGCCCCACTCCCAGCTATCCCCCCCAGCTCCCCCATCTGCTCACTCCCACTCCCCCCCACCTCCCCACCGCCTGACCCCCACCCTCCTCCCCCTCCCGCCCCTCCCCCTGCGCCCTTGTCCGCGTTCTGGAAGACAGCAAGGGAGGCACGCAGCCAGGCGGTGCGGGGAGTGGCAGGGACTGCTGCTGATCCGGATGCCCTTCGGGAGCGTGACCCTGACCCTGCCTCGCCCTTCCGGATGCTGGAGTAGGAGGAGGAGGGCAGGGAGGAGACGGAGGCGAGGGAGGAAGAAGAGGGGAGGGAGGAGAAGGAGGAGGGCGAGGAGGTGACAGAAGGAGAGGTGGTGACCGATGAACCTGCAGCAGCTGCAGCAGCTGCTGTTGACGATGCTGAAGGGGTTGTGGCGTTGCTACCAGGAGATAGAGGGCTGGGCTGCTGGTACTGGTACTGGTACTGCTGCTGCTGGGAGTAATACTGTGGGCTCCCACCCCCTCCCGCCTCCCCCCCCTGACTCGAACCTGAACCAGACGCACTGATTGGCTGCGGGGACAGGCAGATACCACCTGCACCAGATTCACCTCCCCCTGCTCCCCCCGGCCCCACACTCCCCAGCGCAGCCGCCACCACCTCCCACGGATCCTCCGACTTTTTCCTCGTCCTCGTCCCGCCGCCCGCCTTCTTGCCGCCCGGGCTGCTACGGGACGAAACCGCCAGCACCTTGAGAGCCGTCGGATTGAGGATCTTCTCGATCTTTTCATCTGTAGCCACACGTTTCTGCTCGGAGGCAAGCAGGGCGGCGGCCCTGCGGCCTTCCCCGGCACCCCAGAGGGCGGGGTAGGCGTGGGCGAGGTAAATGGCGCCTATGGATCGCAGCATCTCCTCTGAGAGCTCGCACGGGCGCAGGCGCAGGTCCTCTAGCTCGAGCGTGAGGGGGGTGGAGGAGGAGGAGGTGGTGTTGCGGGAGGGAGTGCGGGTCTGTGGGGGCAGAGGGAGAGGGGGGAAGAGGGGGAGAGAAAGAGGGAGATGAGAGGAAGAGGGAAAGGGAGAGGGAGAGGGAGAGCGAGAGGGAGAGGGAGGGTAAAAGAAGGTGGAGAGGGAAACAAAGAGGCAGGGAGAGAAGCAGGGGGGGGGACTGGGAGAGGGACAGCGAGAAGGATGGTGGTTGCTGGCTTGAGAAGACAAAATTATTGGAGATGGACGGAACTTTGTCTGTGCTTTGCTTTGTTTCTCAACCCCCAGAGTGAAGTGAACAAAAAGCAGCCAGAAGCACACCCACCCACCTTGTTGCGAGCAAGCTTCTGCGATATGGATTTGGCCAACGCCTTCCTTAAGCCACTCGACTTCATGCCACCACTAGCAGCACCCCCCCCACCACCACCACCGCCACCAGCAGCAGCCGCACCCCCAACAGCCAAAGACCCAGCGCCAGAGGCAGCAGCAGAGCCACCATAGCTGGCGGCAGGGTCGTCAGCAATGGAGACGGAGCGAGGGCGTGGGGGCATGTCGGAGATACTCCGAGCGCTCCTGTGCCCTGCTGCCGTCCCCCTCGCCACCTCTGCTGACCGCGTCCGAGTCACTGCTGGTGGCAGGCCTGCTTCCCCCCCTCCTGCTGCACCTCCCCCTCCCCCTCCTCCTGCTGTTGCTGCTCCTGTTGCGGCTGGTGCGGCTGCTGATGGTGGTGAAGCAGACGCAGATTGGTTACTGCCAGGGTCGGCACCGCTGCTGTCCTTCCCTGCCTGAAAGCCCACAAACAAGGCCGGGGCAGATTCCACAGCTGCCAGCTCTCCTGCACTTGCCTCTGCTGCACCCTCCGCTGTACCCTCTGCTGCACCCCCTGCTGCAGCCACTGCTGCTGCAGCTATGCCCTCGCTGGCGCCCTCACCCTCCACCTCCCACAGCTGATCTCCCCGCTCGGCAGCAGAAGGAGGAGCAGACTCGCTTATAGAGTCGACCCAATCATCAGAGACAGCGGGAACAGAATTCCAGCGACTGAGAGAGTCCACTGATGCCACAGACAGCTTGCTGGCATGCATGCCCCCCGCCCCTCCATCCCCTGTCTCCGCCTCCTCCTCGAATTCCTCAGCAAAAGTGGCATCTGAACCAAATCCATGCGCCTTCTCTCTCCTGCCTCTAAACCCGCCGCTCCCAGCACCAGCAGCACTGCCAGCCCCACCAGTGCCGCCCCCAGCCCGACCAGCAGCACCAGCAGCAGCGCCAGCCTTATCGCTCTTGCGCGATTTCGACCGTAGGATCTTGTCCTTGGATCGGCGCCACCTGTCCCTGCGCTTATCCGCCATCTCAGCCTCACTCGATGACACCACCGACTCAAAAATGTCCCCAAGAGACCTCTCCCTTCCCCCACCCCCCTCCCTCCCTCCACTCCCACTCTCTCCTCCTCCGCCCCCTCCTCCTCCAGCCATCCCCCCTCTACCCGCCCGTGTGCGCCTGCGCACATCGGACCCGGAGCCTCCTTGGCTCTCATAATCCATGAATGCTTCTAAGTCCTCTTCCCCCACAAGCTCTCCCAGTGAACCTGCAGATCCCCACGAACCACCCCTGCTGCCCCCGCCGCCCCCTTCCCCCCTGCCCCCACTGCCGCTGCGAGATCTCTCCCTAGACCTGACTGACTTAAGCAGCCCAGCTACCGGACCAGCAGCCCCGGCCGAGCCTCGCTCGAGGAAGTCAGGTCCGGCAGAGCGGGTCCGGGCAATAGCACTGGGGATTGGGTCCATTGATGGGTAGGGCCCTGCTGCCCCCCCTGCTCCTGCTCCTGCTGCTATTGCTGGCACTGACGCAGCTGCAGCTGCAGCAGCGGGGCGATCACCCCCCAGACCAGCAACGCTGCTACTGGTTGGGGCAGAGCTGGGAATGACTGAGGCAGCAGCAGTGTTAAGGGCGGAAGTGGGGGAGGAGGCGAACTTGCTGATAGGCGGGCGGGGGCGGGGGGCGGGACGGGGGCGGTCGGGGCTGCGGCTTGCGCAGAGCATGCTGGGGGTGAGACCAGGAAGCTGAGCGGTTGGATGGGGTTGGGATGGGTGGAGAAGGGAATAATAGGGGTGGAGGAAGAACGAAGGGACGTGGGGGGATGGAAGGAACAGTGGCAGTGATTTCAACGGTGGAACAAAAGCAAGGGTTTGTGGAGGGGGATGCTAGAGAGGCATGAAGGCAGTTGCCTTTGCATTGAAGAAACTAAGAAACTAGCATCAGGGAACAGAAGAGGGAAAGGGCACAAGAAGGAAGGCAGGCTCGATCAATCTGGGCCATTGGATCAATCCAAGGACTCACCTGGGCCATTGGATCCAGAGTTGAGTCTTCTGATCGAGCAGGAGAAGCAGTCAAGGACGAGTCCCCCAGATGACTCTCGTGAGGCTGCAGTATCCCATCCGGGTCCAGCAATCTAGACATCACAGGCAGCACCGTTTGCCCCCTCACTGCCCTCCTCCCCCTCCCCCCTTCCTCCGCCTCGTCCGAACCACTCTTCCGCACCTCCCGTTCGTGCATGCTTCCCGAGCCTTCCGCCAGGCCCGGGGGTGCTCCAGACCTGAGTGACTTGATCGGCGCCGTGGCTGACCGCCGAACCAACGCCTGCTGCTTCTGCTGCTGCTGCTGCGGATCCTGCAGACGCATTTCCGAGCCTCCGAGCCCCATGAGACGAGCGTACTCCTCGTCCTCCTCACTCCCCACCGACCCATCGTCATCCTCATCATCATCATAAGCATTATCACGAGAATGAGCATACCCCGCGCCTGCCATTCCACCTGCTCCTGCCTGCGAAAGCTTGCTAGCCGCAACCCCATGGTGGGTGAACGAGCGAGGCACGATGGGCGGCGAGTGTGACGCCATGGGTGGCGAGCCGCTCCCCGCGTGCTCAAGGGCGGCATGCCCCGGACTGTAGCGCCCGGGGCTGCCGCCCAGACGGCTGGGTTCGAAGCCATCCTCTGAGTGCCTGCTGCGGTGGCGACGCAGACTGCGAGTGCGAACCCGTTCAGACACCCCCAGAGGCAAACCCGCTCTTGCTCCCTGTGCCCCTGCACCCCCCACACCAGCAACAGGACTACCTCCCCCAGAAGAACCCTCGCCCTCGCCCTCAAACCCTGACCCCAGGTCCGTGTGTCCGCCCCCTGGAAAGCCAGGGGAGTTGGTACTGTGAGAGCGAGCCACTCTCCTGGTGGCGCTGCTGCTGCTCCGCCTACCACTGCCCATCCCTCTAGACCCCACTGTAATACTGCCATCCCCGTTGTGCCTCCCGCCATGTGCACTCCCATGTCGGCCCCTCTCCCTCTCCCCCTCCCCTTCATACTCATCCTCATCCTCCCCATCCCCATACCCTGGTAAGCCTGTGGGTAATCCTTCCCATAACCCCTTTCCACTCCCCTCACCCTCCCCAAATTCCCCTCCCTCCTCTCCACTCCCCCCAAAACCCCCCTCTCCTGCGCCCATGCCCCACTCCCCGCCCTGCACCACCTGCTCCCGCCGGCTCCTCCTCCCGCTCCCCCACAACCCCCCTTCCCCACCAGCAGTAGCGCCACCGAAGCCCATACCAGCAGCGCCAGTGCCAGCCAGCGGGGTGAAGCCGGACCCCTGGTTGATGTAGCAGGCGGTGAGGGTTTCCAGCAGGTCCACAGAGGACGCTTCCAGAAGGAAGCTGGTGGGGCCGCTGGCTTCCAGGTCCACAAGGGCGAGGCGCACGAAGCTCTCCACGTGCTCGTTCTCCTCCCTCTCCATCTGCAGCAGGTCCTTTAGCACCTCCGTCTGTGCCATCAGCTGCAGCCTGCCGTGGTGCCGGGCGGGAAACAGGGGTGGGAGAAGAGGGGTGGAGAAGAGGGGGAAACAGCCCAGAGGGTTAGGGGACACCGTCTAAACCACCTCACGAGATGCATTTGCCGCATCACCCACAGGTGTCTTGACGGCGCCCAACCAGTCCATTTTCAAATCTACTACAGATTGTTGAAGTCAAGTCAACAGAATTCAGAGAGTTGGCGCTCACTCACAAGTGTGTTGGCGGCTCCCAGGTGGAACTGCCACTGCCTGTGCATGGCGTTGTCGTGTCGGTGTCCAATAAGCACAATCTCGACCCCACGATCTCTTCGAGTCTAAGGCAAGGCAACTCAGAAACCAGCTCTCTGCTGCCTGCAGCGCTCACTGCTGGAACTCCATGCCGAGCCTTTTGATGTGTGTTTCACCCAACTCCAAGTTCACCTGCTGCCCTGCAATACCCTCAGCAGCAGCACCCACGGCACGGCACAGGTGCGTGGGCGACTCACAGGTGGAACTGCGTGCTGTGCATGGCCTTGACGGCGTCGAACGAGTCCACCTGCCAGTGCACGTGCTCCAGTGCCCTCTCCACGTTGCACCGCTCCACACTCAGATCCAGCAGCACCCGCCGCATCGACCGCAGCTCGCCGCCCATATGCGTCACCTCGCGGTGCAGCTGTCTCTCCTCCTTGTCCTCTAGCTCCTGGGAGAGTGCGAGGAGGGAGGAAGGTAATACCGTAATGGTAGGGGGAAGAATGTGCGTTCCACACACATGTCACCTCCCGTGCTGCTGCTGCCGCTCCTCCTTGTCCTCTAGCTCCTGGGGGTGGGGGTGGGGTGTACAATACGAGGGCGTGTGTGAGTGAAAGAGGTTACATGAACCACTCCGCACCGCATACAGATGCCAGATACTCTGACGTTTCCTCAACAGAGCTTAAGCAATTCCTCTCCAGTAGCAGTGAGCTTACGCGAGTCAATTCTAGCCGCAATGAGCAATCACCTGCACCGCACCCACCCAGCTACCCACCTGCACTGGCAGCTGCGGCATGTCGCCCCCAGCAATGGCAATCACGTCTGCCAGCCAGTGTATGCGAACCCCCTCCCTTTATAACAACATCCCTTCTAACCGCAGTGAGTGATCAATGCGTGTGTCTCCCCCCTCATCCCTCGCCCGCCCACCCACCTGCACTGGCAGCTGCGGCATGTCGCCCCCAGCAATGGCAATCACGTCTGCCAGCTTCTCCTGCCGAGCCACCTCCCGAGCCATGTCCTCCTCTAGCTGGAGCAGCTGAAGGAGAGGAAGCAGGGGAGGTGAAGAAAGGCGAGCCAAGCAACGAAGCACACCAGTTTTGAGCAACTTCAAAGTTCTCCTGCCGAGCCAGCTGCTGAGCCATGTCCTCCTCTAGCTGGAGCAGCTGGGGAACGGAAAAGGGGTGGGTGGGGGACGGGGAGGATGGAAGGCGAATTACGGAACGAAGCACATGACTTTTGAAAAATTCCAGACTTTTCCTACCCAGAAAGCTCTTGAGCCATGTTCTCCTGTAGCTGGAGCAGCTGGAGGAGAGAGGGGAGGGTGAAGGAATACGAAACAAGGGGGGGACGTAGGCAACTTATAAGTCAGCTCACAGTCTCCTGTCAGAAAAAACTGAAATTTCAACCGCTCCCTGGTTACTCCACGATTTCCCACATTCAGACACCATTTTCAGGACCGTCAATGCTGCCACCATCCCACGCGATCAATCACCCCAACCCCAACCTAATCATCCCTTAAAAAAATACCCCACCATCCCATTCGATCAAGTCCTCCCACTCCCGCAAAATCAACGGCGCAACCCTCCCTCACCTCGGAATCCAGCAGGTGGGTCATCGTTGAGACTCTGCTGTGCTTCCTCCCATGCCCCGATCCCCCGCCTTCCCCGCCCTCGCCACTACCTAAGCCGCCACCAGAACCACCCGTCTCTCCTCCGCCTCGAGCTGCAACAACTCCGGAAGCACCAGCGACGGAAGCAGCAGCAGAAGCAGCAGCAGAAGTAGCAGCAGCAGCAGCAGCATTGGACGAAGCAGCAGCGAACGCGCCAGATTGAAGAGAGGCACCGCCTGCACTCTTCCGTGGCGCAGACTTTTGAGGCGCATCAAGAAACGAGTCAGATCGAAGCGAGTGGCCGCTTGCACTCCTCCGTGGCCCGGAAGCCCTACTCTCTTGTCTCCCTCCTCCTGCTGCTCGACCCGTCTCTGGGATCCCATTCGGCCCAGGATGGTGCGAACCCGAGGTTACCACTCTCTGCTGCTCCATACACGATATACGTCGAATGCCAGATTACGTCCGAATGCCAGATTTCGTCCGAATGCCAGATTACGTCCGAATGCCAGATTACGTTCGAATGCCAGATTATGTCCGAATGCCAGATTACGTCCGAATGCCAGATTACGCCCGAATGCCAGATTACGTCCGAATGCCAGATTACGTCCGAATGCCAGATTACGTCCGAATGCCAGATTACGCCCGAATGCCAGATTACGTCCGAATGCCAGATTACGTTCGAATGCCAGATTACGTCCGAATGCCAGATTACGTCCGGATGCCAGATTACGTCCAAATGCCAGATTACGTTCGAATGCCAGATTACGTCTCCAAAACAGCTGGTTGAGTAGCCTAACGGATCAGACACACCAACTGGTTTGAGCAGATCGCGAAACTAGTTGCAGCGGGAAACTGAAACGAAGACTCACGGACGGGGAAACTTGGCTAGCCTCTATGTATGATCCACAAACGAGCGGCTGCAAGATAAGCTAATGTCTACAACCGCCCACTCTTGAAGGAATCACTTTTGAGAATTCTCGAATATGTTAATGCGTTTACCACTTACGATATCCTGTAACCTACGAGCTTCTACTACTTATGACATGCTAATACCTACAATCAGGTACTAATCCGCATTGAGGGATTATCTGGTATAAGATATTCAATACTAAAGCCACGCTTCTATGTTGAATAACCTCCTCTCCATTGCGCTTTTAAAGATCGAATCACATACCCTCGTCCGACTCCTTGCGGTTGACCGCGTCCGGCTGCCGGACCGGCAGCTGAACCGGCAGATGAGCCGGCAGCTGAGCTCTGACCGCTAACTATGGGGCTGGGCCCCTTCCCTCCTTGCGGAACCCCCTGCTGGCGCGATGCCGAGCTGACAACGCCTTAAGTCGCTTGTAATGCAGCGATCATGAAGAAAAGGAATGGTGAATAACAAAAAGGAACTGGGATCAAAGGTCCAGAAAAAATATCCAAAAATACTGGAGTATTTGATGGAGCCAGCAAATCCCGAGGTTCGCAGAATGAATGCACAAGCAGGTTGGGGTTCGCAGAATGAAAGGACAAGCAGGTTGGGGGAAGAAGGGGAGAAGTAGGTGGGAAAGGGGAGGGGGAAGACCTGGACTGGAATACAGTAGGGAGACACCTTTGGTAGGAGACGGAAGGAGTTTGGCGCACGAGTTTCAGCACGCAGCGGGCGGTCACCTCAAGGCCGGAATTGGCTATCCGAACAATATCTGTTACAGGGGGTATTACTGTTCACTTTGCACAGTAACTCCCAACCCCATCCTTATCCTTATCTTCTTTGATTTCCTAGTGCCACGTGGCACTCTACTTTTCTTGCTTCTACTTTCTAGTCCCACGAAGTACTTTCCATCATTCGACCTTGCATGCTATATCAACCTTGCTTGTATTCTCCAATATCAACCAATTCTCATTCGACCATTACTCAATTACTTCTTCGCCTATTTCTCTAATCCTTTCTTCGCCAAAGACTTCCGCCGCGTTTTTATCCTCGACTTAGTCGACCCCGCTATTCTTTAGCGGATTTAGGCCAAGGGGCCTAACAATATCCCCCTTTTTAGGGTATCGAATACTACACCATCAGTGTCAAAACGAAATTTGAACAGATATGTTTTGGGTGGCAACATTGCACGCGATCCTATCATCTAACCAGCAAGAACAACCTCTCCTCCGCCATGGCTCTTCACGGAAACTTTAGCAGGCACAATGTCTATCTTACCATTATCAGTTCCAACACCGGAGCATATTATCGGGACCTACTAATTAAGAGCTCGCTTTTGACACCATTTTGTGTTCACAACGAGAATATAAGAGAATCTTTGTTGCTCCTGTTAAAACTCGTTTTCTTGTTAATAGCTGCTTTGAGGCTCAAGACATTGCTCAAGCTGTTTCCAATGAAGACAAACATGGTTTGGCTCATGTCAAAGGGTGTAAAACTATGTTTAAATTGTGTTAGGCTACAATGAAGTACATTGTAGAAGGTATAACAAATTAGGGTTCCTACTTGTATCTCATGCTGCCTAGTTCACTCATCATTCCGATGTTCGTTCTCTGAGATGGTATCATCGCCGTTAGTTCCTAGGCCCGATCCGTTCCTAAACCAGCTTCCTTCCTAGCATGCCCCGCCCCGCTCGTTTTTAGGCCCCGTCATGCCCGTTAGCAGCCCGCGTCCCACCCGTTTGCAGGCCGCGCCCCGCCCGTTAACAGCCCGCGCCCCGCCCGTTCGCAGCCCGCGCCCCGGCTGTTAGCAGCCCTCGCCCTGCCCTTCAACAGGCCGCGCCCCGCCCTAGGCAGCAGTCGGGCACGCAGTCGAAGCCGCGCGCACACAGCTGCACGCACGCAGCCGCGTGCACGCAGCCACACGCACGCGGGCGCACACAGTCGAGCAGGCGCAGCAGCATGTCAGAATACGAAACAGGAATGATTGACTAAGCAGGAAATGTGGTACAAGAACTAACCCTAACAAGGGTTGTACCCCATAGGGAGTGACCCACTACAGCCTAACAATGTATGTTTGACACACCCCCATAGGCGAAGTGGGGAACAACAAGAGGTCACAAGACCAGTCAAGAGAAGAAACGAAGAACAAAGCTCAGGATGGATCTCAAGAACACCACACATTCTGAGCACAAGCAAGAGGCCACAAGGCCAGTTCACACGCAGTTTTATAATAGAGCAAGCAGTACAATGATTACAACCTAGCAACCAGAGACATGCAGGTATATATATCAAAGTACAAGGCAAGATCAAGACACAAGCAGTGTTGGCCCGTGTGGCCACATACGAAAGGCGAAGCAGGGAACGCTGCTGCAACACTCGCACGACAAAGGAACGAAGTGCAAAGTGCTATGTTCTGCTCGCGAGTCTGACCAAGTAGCGCAGCACCCTCTCAGCAGCCCGCCAGTGCGCTGGGTGGTGTCTCCCGGGCGCAACGTAGCGAGTCCGGATGGTGAGAGGGTACGGCAAATACTCCAGCTCAAACTGCCTGTCCTCAAGGACGTCACAGCCAAGGGCAAGCTCACCCCCAACGGACGGAGGACACGAAGAGGCAAAAACGAGACCAGCAAGGTAGGCACAGCGGCAAGTAGTGGCAAAGCCAGCGAGCTCAGCTACTAAGGTAGAAGCAGCAGCAGTCGAAGAAGCATGTGCAGTCACAAGCGCGGCTAGACAACAAGGGATACTCGGGCAAGCAGCACGAGCAAGGTCAGACACAGGGTCAGGAACGGCAGGAAGAGAAGACGGGGGAGGTAACGGCAGGACAACAAGCTCCCGAGTAACACTAGAGGTAGCAGGGGAGGCGGCACAAGACACAGGCACCCGACGCCCAGTCAGAGGGGAGTCAGGCGGCAATAGTGTCCGAGACAACAGAGGAGGAGTAGTACCAGTGGCCATCGGCTCAGCAGAGGCAGCCGGGAGTCGGAGAAGGTGGTGAAGCGCCGACTCAAGTAGCGACGACGACGGCTGCTCCAAGAAGATAGGCCGCCGCGGCAGCGACTGCGATGCACCCCCAGACCCAGCACCTCCGACACAAACACAAGGACCGCCAGTCCCAGGAACACCTCCAGCGCCTGTACCTCCAACTCCACCTACAAGAGGACTCCTAGCACCCCCGGAGTCAGCACCCCCAGAACCAGCACATCCTGAACCAGTACCCCAAAAGCCAGCACCCTCAGTGTCACCATCCCCAACAACACCTGGGCCCCTGAAGTCCACAGCGACAGGCTGCAGAGAAGGCGAAGACGTCCGAGGCGGAAAACCCGGAGGTGTCTCCAAGCGCGGCGAGCGGTAAGAGGTCGCTGAGTCGGCAGCAGTAGGGTCACCCCCCTCAGTCGAGCCAGAGGAGTCAGAGGGGTGCACATAGACTAGTCCAGAGGTGGGGTCGGCCAGAGTGACAGGGACCGAGAGCAACGCCTCTACAGGAACCGCACCTGTGCTAGTAGGCGCACAAGCAGCGACACACGAATACTCTAACTGCTGCTGCCCGCCCCCGCCACTCTCGCCAGCTCCACTACCACCACCCTCGTCAGCTACAGAGGCGAAGTCTGACAGCGCAGGGAAGGTACGAGGCAGCGCAAGACAGCCTAGGGTGGCAGGAGGGTGGGGGGGAGTAGCGCCTAACCACAGCGGAATACATAGCATGGGCCGACGGCACCTGGCGAAATTTGGCTCTCGGGTCGAGCGAGAGGTGAAGGCGGACTGCAAGTGTGGCGGCGGCGTCTCGCGCCATCCACCGCTTGTAGGCAACGTGAGCTGCGCGGAACTGCATCCGCACCTCCTCCCCAGCGTCAGCAGCAGGCTCAGCAGGAGCCTCGGGGGCTGGAAGGGACCCCGACGTGTGCTCGAACATAGAGGTGTTGGTCTGAGTGACACTCTGGAGGTACTGGTGCAGACCCTCTAGCCAGGACTCAAACTGTATCGGGTGGCCCTCGGCGTCAAAGGTGAGCACAGTGGGAGTCGCCATGGCAGCAGTAACGGCAGCAAGGGGGGCAGCAAATGCGGCTCGGCAGGGCGGCTCGGCTGGGCCAGCAGTAGCGCAGGCGGCAGCAGCAGCTGCAGCTTAGCAGCAGTAGCAGCAGCAGCTTAACAGCAACAGCAGCGCAGCAGCAGTAGCACAGGCGGCAGCAGCAGCAGCAGCTTAGCAGCAGCAGCAGTAGCACAGGCGGCAGCAGCAGCAGCTTAGCAGCAACAGCAGCAGCGCAGCAGGAGCAGCACAGGCGGCAGCAGCAGGGCAGGCGGCAGCAGCAGCGCAGGCGGCAGCACAAGGCAGCGTGGGCAGGGCAGCAGGACAACGCAGAGGCCAGGGCGCTACAGGGCGGCAGAGCAGCAGCGCAGGCCTAACGGGGCAGGGCTGCAGTAGCGCAAGCAGCGGCAGCAGCGCTAAGCGGCAGCTAGGCAGGGTAGCAGCTCGGGCGGCAGCAGTGCAGCAGCGCAGCAGTGGGCTGCAGTAGCGCAAGCAGCGGCAG